GAGAGAGAGAGAGAGAGAGAGAGAGAGAGAGAGAGAGAGAGAGAGAGGTTGCCATGGTGACAGGGGAGGCGGGCCCAGAAGCCTCAGGGAAGGGAGGCAGCTCAAGCCAACGGTGATTCTAGTGCAGGATGCCCTTCCTTCACACCTTATTATCAAATGCGCTCCACTGGGCCTCTGGCCTGGCCTGGGGCAGCCTCCGGGTCTGTCACCCAAGAGCCTCTGGTTGCTACCAGAAGCCCCAGGTTCTGGGAACACTTGCCGCATGGGTGCTCTCTGCTTGGTGGGTCCCCTGGAAACTCCCTTCCAGTCCATGACCTCGGTGTGGCCCCCGGAGAGGTGGCACTCTGGCAGGTGGGAAGCAGGAAAGAGAGGGCAAGGCGCTGTGCAGTTTCCTAATTGTGTTACGGCCCCACTTCTGCCACCCAACTTCTACTTCCTGCTGCCCAAAATGCCTTCCACCCCTACCCCCTTGGCTAGCTCCTATCTTTCCTTTTGTTCTCCGTTCGGAGGACACAGGCCTGGCAATCCCTCCGTCCCCTCTGCAGTCTGGGTGAGATTCCCCCTCTGTGTTCCTACACCTGCCGCATTTCCCCCATAGAGTGCTCAGCACAGGTGGTCCAATGGCCCCTTGGCCTGGCTGTATCTCTCGCTTTGGAAAGAAGATGAGAGCACAGACCTTGTCTGGCCTGTCCCCATCCCAGGGCCTGGCCCATAGTCGGGCACCCAATAAACGTTTGCTTGTTTGGCGGGTAGGGAGAGGGAAAGCAGATAGGATTTTCTAAAACAAATCCCATCACTGGAAACCCACAGACCATTCAAACCGTGGAGTGCGATCTTGGTTTTGGTTCTCCATGGAGGTGAGGGAAAGAACAATCTTACAGAATCCCTCTGCAGGTCTCCGTCTTGCTGTTCTAGAATTGGGGGTAGAGGCGCAGGTAGGGGGAAGGAGGAAGTTAGGGCAACATGCACTTGTCCATGGCTAATTGTCAAGTTCAGAGGGGAGAACAGTCAACGAGAAGGCGTTAGAAGGTCAAACAGTGGCACCCCCAGCCCACCCCCATGGCCTCTGGCGTAAATACTGTGTAGCTGGGAGTTATACTTCCTGAGCTGGCTGACTCCCAGAGCCTTCTCCAGGGCGGAATGCACCTTCTTGGAAAGCGTTTCTCCCCGGACACCCTCCACTGTTCACTCTTTGGAATGTTTTCACTCTTGTGACTTGTCTTGTCACTTGAGCTGCAAATCAGTATCTGGCCCAGAGAGTGAGCCGGGGCTGGCGAACCCAGTGAGCCAGAAGTCAGTCTTCCCCATCTTCTGTGAAGGGCCTCCATGGGTCAGTTTGGGTTCTAGAAGGATGAAAACGGGGAGCCCAGCTCGGGCACTCTGATGTGTATAAACATGAGGCTCTCCTTGGGGCACAGCCTCGCCCAAGGAATTCTCCAGCATGCATAGCGCTTGGCAGAGAGAGTTCGATGAGTGGCACCTGGATGCAGGAGTGGGGAATGAGCCATGGAAGGGGATGGCTATGGCCAGCATTGAGGGATGCATAGCAATGTCAGAAAGACGAAATGAGATCCAGCCAGCAGCGTTCCCCAGCTGCTGTGGAGCCCTGAGCTCCCTCCCACAGGGCCAGGAAGAGGCTTTGCCCAGCTCTCTTATGGCTAAACCCCCTCCACCACCACCACCACCACCAAGAAGATGGGGATGTTGGGTGTTGTCAGGTCTCCTCCTGGTCGAGGCAGCAGGGTGACGGGGAGAACAGAAGGTGAGGCCACCATCAGCGATTCAGGAAGAAGGACTTGAGAGTCTGGAAGAAAACTGACTTCTTTTTCTGCTTCTGTTTCTTTTTGATGATGGGCACCCACACCAGGCCGCACACCAGCATCATGAGTCCCAGGGACAGGAAGGCAGGCCCTATCATTTTAAGGACCTTAAGGCTGTTCTCACCCAGTTTCAGGGTGTAGGCCAAGCAGGTGATGACCACGCCGAAGAGGAGAATGGCGCCTCCCACCGACATGATAACGATGGGTTTGCGGTAGATTTCCCATTTACTCCGGGGCGTGGCGGTCCAGACGGACTCGCTTCTGGAGCTGATGCACAGGGAACTGGCCGTCTGGCTGGGCAGCAGGTCTTTGAATTCTGGAGACTTCTCATCGACCTCCAGGGCCTTGGGGAGAGCCTCCATTGTCATGGGTCCTCGGGACTGGGCACCTGGTACCCGCAACAGTTAGAAGCGAGGGTGGAGCCAAAGGAGTCCTCACACACCCTTCCGGTTCTCAGCATCCGTCTCCGGCCTGGCTCTCAGCGGAAGGTGACACTGGGTTTTGTGCTGAAGCCAAACAGAAAGTCAGATGAGATCCACATAAATAAGAAACCACGCACTGGCATGTTTTGTTTTGCTTTTTTCTTGTGAGAGATAAATATGATGGCATTAGAATCAACTGCTTTTAGTATTTAAAACAGGGAACAGTGGTACCGCTTAAAAATAAAAAAGCAAAAGCCACGGTTAATCGAATGGCATCTTATTTTCAGACTCAACTACTTTCTAGCTGTGTGACCTTGAGTGAGTTACTCAATGTCTCTGTGCCTCAGCTTTCTTATCTATAAAATGGGGATAACAATACTATTCATCTCCTAGCCTTCTCCAAAGGGTTAAACGAGTTAAGACGTGTAATGCACTGCAACAACGCCTCGCATGTTGCAAGCACTTCATAAATGCCATCGTTTGCCGAGCACAGGGTGAGGAACTGCCAGAGGCTGGATTTGAACCCGTTCTGTTCTTGCTCTCGCTCTTATGGTCTGGAGAACATCTTTCAGTGCAGCCCATTTTATGTGCTTTTCCAGCGCAGGGCAGTCATGCCCCAGGTTCAGAGTGTGACCTTTTAATGTCTAAATGCCCCCTTTCCCCGCCCTCCTCGGGAGTGACGTCAAGTCATTCTCAGGCCTGTAAAGGCATGGAGTCTAGCCAGCCACCTGCTCTGATTTCTCATCTAGAGCCCGTCCGTGTACCTCTCAGTCACCATAGCCCCCCCTTCCCCTGGCACTTTCTGTGTGTGGGAGGAAGGCAAGGCTTGAGAGAGCCCCGTGTGCTTCCTGGGGGTCCTCACTGACTGCCCGCCCCGATGTGTCATCCTTGACTTGTCTCCAGAGGGTCTGGCGTAGCGTACCCTAGCGATGCTGCGTCCCTTTCAGTGAGCGAGCGAGTGAATGAACACTGGACCATCCTTTCTGCTTCCTCCCTCCCGATGGTCCCGAGCATAAATCCAGCTTTCTTTACAACACTGCTTGGATCAGTTCTTCCTGGCAGAGCCTGGTGCCTCCCTGCATTAAGCTCAGGCAGAGCTGAGCTCTGGGACCCTGATGGCCACTCTCTCCTCCTGTGTCTCCTGGTCACAGACTCTCCCACTGTTCTCTGCAGGGCCCCTGCCTGCCTTCCCCGGGGTGACTCTCCGGTCTCTACTCTGTCTCCCTCCTCCGATGAACTGCCTTTGGTCCTTGGCCCCTGCTCCTGCCCTCCTCCATCCCTGCAGCAGCTCAGGCCTGAACCACCTCCCCCACCCACAATGCTCCCCCTTTCTAGAACAAGCAGTTACAGACCCGTCCCCTTAGACATGAAGGAAATCAGAATGGTAACACTGCCATGCCTTCAGAAGGTAGATATTCACGTTCCTGGACACTCATCTAGAGAGACGATATTTGGGTCTCTGCTTCCCAAGACTTTGAAAAATGGGAAATGTGCTCTTGTAAGTACAGGGACACAGGTGTTCCCTGCTGCCCCTTGGATCCTGTGGCCCGTTTGCATAAGCCAAGCAGCCCTTTGTAAAGTGATCTCCCCTTCGCCCCCCATCCCAATGAGCTGGGGGTAAGGAAGGGATCACAGAGCAGTGCTGTGAGGTCCTGGGCCGGGGGTGGACTTATGTTGGTTTTTGCCACCTGGTTTCTTCTGTGGATGTTTTGACATCTCCAGTAGGATTTTTCTCTCTGGGTAGCCCTTTTTACCGCTTGGCAGTGGAGACCCAGGGCAGAAGGGCTTGCTGCCTTCGGATGCTGGAGGGGTTGGGAGAGAGATGTAGGAATGCAGAGATTCTCCGTTGCGCCGGAGCTGAGCTGGGCTGGATGGAGAAGGACCCGTTCCTGTGAGAGCTGCCACCTGGGTGGAACACGGCCACAGCTTTCTGCACGGGAAATATGCTGCTGGAGGCGGGGACCACGGCCGGGGTCCCGGAGAGGGAGGTGGGACTCCCGGGGGCCTTGCTGGAAGCGCCGAATGCATGCTCTTTGGCCCTGCAGGGAGGCCATTTGTTTATTCCCATTTTGTAAGGGCAGAGACAGGCGCAGTGAGATTCAGGAGCATGGCCAAAGCCTTCCCTAACCTCCTCTGCGGCTGTGCTGGGATTCACACCAAGGTCTTTGGACTTAAAGGCTCCTTGCACTAGATCGTGCTGGTCTGGATGAGTCCTGAGGTCCCTTCAACTGTGAGAATGTCTGAGTTTTTCACTCTGGGGCTTCATCCGCCCGTCAGGTAACCTCTCACTGTATACCGAATGATGTAGCTAGGTAAGTAGTTCTATAGGGATTCACTATGCAATAGAGAAATAAGAGCACGGTGGTAAATTTTTTTTTGGCATTGGAATAGTCCTCATTTTATGAAATGACCATGATGGAAAGAGGATCGTTGGTTTTGTTAGTATCTGTCCTTGGCAAGAGAGAAGTTGGTCATCTCATGTGGATGCCTGTCTGTCTACTTATTTATCTATCTATTATCTACCTATCTATCTTTCCGTCTGTCATCTATCTACCAAAACTGAAATCTCAAAGAACGGGAACCTTTGATTTAGTTGACTTACTTAGGAGGAGGTGTGAGTCTTGGTACAGTGATGGGGCAAGGCAGGGCTTCTGAGCAAAACCACTCCTTTGTGACTCCAGCAAGTCAGGGAGCTTATTCCCGGTGTCCGTGTGTGACGATGAAGATCCAAGTCCCTGACATCAGAAGGACCACCACCTGAAGCCAGTTTACCTAATCTGTGGGACTCTGGGCCGCTTACCTAGCCCCCCGAGACTTACTAGCCCCACATCTAAAATAGGAGACTAGAACATCTGCCCCTTGGGCCGTGGGTGTGACATATGAGAGGTGTTCCAGACAGGGCCATGATGATGATGATGATGATGATGATCATGATGATGATTACTTTGGTCTCCGTTTTCTCATCTGTAACATGAATAAGTTGGGGTAAGGGGCTTCTAAAGCCATCTTAGATCAGTCCACTGGTGGTGACTCAGACTTGAATTCTGAGACTCCGGGCTTCCTGAAAATCCCCAACTCAGGGGTGATATGCGTTTCATAACACTTTATTAGAGTCCAAAACATTCTCTATTTTTTCCCGATATCAGGGTTTCTCAAGAGCAGTACTATTGACATTTGGGGCTGGAAAATTCTGTTATAGGGAGGCTATCCTGTGCATTGTAGGATATTTCCTTAATGGCCCTGACCTATACCCACCAGAGGCCAGTAACACCCTTACCTCCGGTCTTGATAATAAAAAATGTCTCCGGCAATTGCCAGGCGTCCCCTGTGTGTGGTGGGGGAGGGGGAATCAATCTGGTGTCCACCACAACCCCACACCAGCTTTTCCCTCCCTCCTAGCTTGCAAACTGCCCAAGGTCCAAGGCTGAGCTGACTCACCTTCCACGGCCCCCCCCACCACCCCGCGGCCCTGAGCAGGTGCTCCCAGGGCCTGGCCCCAGTGCTGCAGTTCCATGAGGGACCAGGGGACACGTAGGGAACCAGCCCAGGGAGAGCAACCATATTTTCAGGTTTGGGTTAAGTTCTCGGGGTATCGGTTTGTATGTCTCAGAGGACCCCTCACTCCCTGCGGCGGGTTGACTGGTCCACCCAGAATCTCAGAATGTGACCTTATTTGGATAAGAGGTCTTTGCAAGTATTATAATGAAGGCAGGGGTCTCCAGACGAGCTCATCCTCAAATAGACCGGTCCAATGACTATGTCCTTATAAGAGAAAGGAGAGGAAAATTTGACAAACAGAGGGGAAACCCTGGCAAAGATGCAGGCAGAGCCTCCAGAAGGAACCAGCTCTAAGAACTCCTTGATTTGGGACTCTGACCTCCCAAACCCTGGGAAAATACACTGCCTTTGTTTTCAGTGACTGAGTTTGTGGTAATATGTTACAGCATCCCTAAACAATGAACACACCCACCTTTCTTTAATGTCCTTGACACCTCAGCGGTGGACAAGTACTGAGGCCCAGAGGCTGGGCCTGTGGGGGAGACAGCGGAAGGAAGGAAGGAAGGAATGAACGAACGAACGAACGAACGAAGGCAGGAGGTCGGGCCTCCTGGACTCCCCACAGATTTGAATCAGGGCAGCCATTTGAGAAGAGAGGATGGGTCCCTCTCCCCAGAGGTCACATTTGGAGTGTCAGGAGACAGACTTAGTGGACAGAAACTGTAGCACACGGCTGGGATTGGGCAGGCCGCAGGCTAGCGCCAAGATGGCACACCGGTCTGGGACCACACAGCCATGAGAAGGAAAGAGGGACAACCCCAAGCCTGCATGTGCACTGGTCTCCAAACATGACACCCACCAAGAGCAGCCAGGCACACTTCCATTTACATAAAGCCCCCATTTACATAAAATGAGATTCCATTTACATCAAATTCAAAATCTGTGCTATTTGCAGTGAGGATAGTGGTTACCTTTGGTGGGGGTGGTGGATGGGGAACACGCTGGAAACTTCTGGGGTGCTCTAACATTTCTGCTTCTTGATCTGGCTACAGCTGGTTACATGGGTGTGTCCTATTCATGCTGGACACTCGCGATATGACTACTTTTCTGTGTGGAGGTTAAACAGCAATAAAATGTTTAAGCAAAGATAATTAAAAGGTCTAAATGCATTATGTTCCCTTTTTTTGGATTCTGACTGGAACAGACCGATTGTACAAAGACATTTGGGGACAGTTTTAAGGAAGTCTAAATTTGGATTGGGCATTAGATGACACCAAGAATTTAAAATTTGTATTTGGGGACGCCTGGGTGGCTCAGTTGGTTAAGCATCTGCCTTCGGCTCAGGTCATGATCCTGGAGTCCTGAGATCGAGCCCCACATCAGACTCCCTGCTCAGCAGGGAGCCTGCTTCTTCCTCTGCCTGCCGTACCCCCTGCTTGTGCTCTCTCCCCCACCCTCTGACAAATAAATAAAATAATAAAATTTGTATTTGGTATGAAAACGACACTGGGGACACAAAAGAAAATGTCTTTAAGATATGACTTATGGGGAGGAAATGCTGTGTTGCTATGGTTCACTGGAGAACCTCAGACTCCGGATGCAGGATGACAAAATGCTCAATAGTATCAAATCTGGGTGGTGGATATATGGACGTTCATTATGATTACTATCTCTACTTTTATGCACGTCAGCAAATCCTTATAATGATGGGAAACTGAATATACAGACAGACAATGGCCAGACCACGTCTAAAGCCAGAACTCTGAGGGGCGCCCGGCAGGCTCAGCCGTGGAGCCTGCCAACTCTTGATCAACTCCGGGTTGTAGGTTCGAGCCCCATGTGGGGTGTGGCGATGACTTAAAAAAAAAAACAAAACAGAACTCTGACCCCCAGTCTGCAGGAACCAGCCCAGGAAGCCAGCCGCTACATGGAAGTATGACTGTCTCCAGCAACCAGCCCAGCGATGCAAACAATAACCAAGGACAACTGCCTTTGGACGAAGCAATTCAGTGGGGGAGAGAAAGTCCTTTCGACGGATGTCGATGGAAGGACTGATGTTCTACTGGGAAGAAAATGAAACCTGACCCCGCCTCACAGCGTCCACAAAAGAATGAATTTGAGACGGATCACGGCATAGCCTGAACATAAGAGCTAAAACTAGAAAGATTTTAGGAGGAAACAGAGAGGAATACCGTTGTGACCCAGAGGCAGGCGAACTTTCTCAGACAGGGCAGAGCAGGCAATAAGCAAGCGCGAAAAGAAAAGCAATTAATAAGATTTCGTCTTCACTGAAAACTCCTGCTCATTTAAAGCTGCTAAGAAGAAATGAACAGGCAAACTATGGGCTGGGAGAAAAGTTTTTGCAAAATATGTATTTGTCAAAGGATTTGTATCTGGGACATATGAAGACCCGCTACATCTGATGGGTGAAAGCCATCAGCTAGCCTAATTTTTATAAAATGGTCAAGAGGTTTAGAGAGACCATTACAAAGGAAGATAAACGCATGAACAAGATGCTTGACATTGATATTCAACAGGGAGAGGCAAATTAAAACCACAAAGAGATGCAGCTGGACACTCACTAGAATGGTCGACGTTTAAAAATCTCACAAAACAGGGCGCCTGGGTGGCTCGGTTGGTGAAGCGTCTGCCTTTGGCTCAGGTCACGATCCCAGGGTCCTGGGATCCAGCCCCACGTCCAGCGCCCTGCTCAGCGGGGAGCCTGCTTGGGATTCTCTCTCTTTTTTTCCCTCTGCCTCTTGCCCGCCCCCAACTCGTGCTCTCTCTCTCTCTCAAATAAATAAGATCTAAAAAAACAAAAAAACAAAAAAACCCCCACAAGACAAATGGTGAGATGCAGAACACCCCAAGCTCCCGTACTCTACTGGCAGAATGTAAAATGGCACAAACACTTTGGGAACAGGCTTGGTAGTTTCTTCTGAAATTAAACACGCACCCACCCTCCACCCTAGAAGTTGCCCTCCCAGATATTTATTTGTCCAAAAGACATGAAAGTCTGTGTCCACAAATGATTTGCTGAAGAATATTCATATAGCAGCTCTCCCCCAACAGCCCAAGCCCGAAACTAACGCACCAACAGATTGCAGACTCACGCAGAATACTAAAGCCATAAAAAGGATTGGACAATGAAAAGGAACAAGGTTGTGATGCACACACAGTGTGGAGGAGTCTCCCAGACACGCCGGGTGAAAGAAGTCACATGTATAAAAGAGTACATTTATTGTATATTTCCACTTATAGGGCCTTCTCGAGGCTTCTAAGAAGTAATCCAAGGTGACAGAACTCAAAACAGTATTGTAGGGAAGGGCATTACAGGAAGGAGCTGAGGGATTTCCCCGGAGTGGATGGAAATGTTCCATCCCGTGGTATTATTGGTGTGGGTTACATGGGCGGGGGTGCATCTGTCCATACAGCCCACTAAGACTTGTGCATTTCCCTGTGTGTAAATTATACCCCACAGAAAACAGACTGTAAAAACCCTAATAATTGACGGGTCAGGTGGGGAGCAGGTAGAGGGACAGCTCACCCAAGAATGGCCGAACGCCAGTAGTGGAACATGGTGATCCGGCATAGGGGCGTGAACAGGAAGCACATTACCTGGAAAAGGAGAGGTACGGGCCGGGGCGAAGTGACCCCAGGACAGGGTGGAGATGTTACAGGGAAATCTGTAAAGTGAGGGAGTCACCTGGCTAAGACCGTGGAGCTGACTCCAATGAGGAGGAAATTGGGAAAGGAGGAGAAGGTGCTTCTTGGAGAAACTGGGATTGGGGCAGGAAATGCAGGTGAGAGATGGAGAGAAACAGGAATTTCACCTTGTCCACCTTGTCTCTGGAAATCTGCCACCCTATGAAGGAAAACACAGCCTCTCCTCGAACCAGGAGGCCCTGGATGGAGCAAAGACTGGGCCTGGTGGCCTGAACAATCCTCTCCAGAAGGGAGGGACCTGTAGGACCGTCCCTTAATCTTGTTAGGGCTGCTCTACTTATCCATCGTATATTTGTCATTGTGCCCTTATTTGGGGGCCCTGCCTACCCGTGTTGTTTCGGTGTTTGGCTCTTGACTTGGTAGTCCTTGGGTCGCTACGCAGTGCTCAGCGAACAGTGCTCACCAACACGGCCCCACTTTCCAAACCACTCCTGCGTGCTGGCCTCCGCGAGACACAAGGAAGCCAGGCTTCCGCTCCACGGAGGAGCTCAGGGGGTGCACATTTCCTCCCTGCCTGCCCATAGCTGCTTGCTCAGTGGCGTCTTTGACAAATGAGGCAAAGAAATGTCTCAAACGAGAGGGGAGGGCGGCTGCCGGAAGATCTGGGCTTTTTTTCCACGCGATCCCATATTCCCCCCCCCCGACGAAGAAATGGTTTGGCGCTAGGTGTGTGGATTATGCAAGGTGCTGAGCAACAGTGAAGGTCCAAGATAATAAAGACCAAACGCTTCCCCTCCAGCAGATTCCTCAGGCGTCTGAAATATACCACTTAACTGGGAATGGAGGTTGGAAGTGAAATAAGTGAATTATTGCCCTGGAGGTGACCAGATACGTGTCTGTACTTTGGGGACTGGACGCTCTCCATCCCTTCCCAGATCCCTTGAGGGACTGGGGCTGGGGCTTTCTCAGCTTCCCATGCTCTCCAGCCGGCCGCTCCGCACTTTGCCGAGGGGGGGAAAGGGTGGGCTCAGCAGACACTTGTTAAATGGCCCAAAACGCAGGGGAGCTTCGGCAGGGGAGGGAGGAGAGGGTTTTTTGGGGAAGTTGAGCTAACCCTGTGAATTTGCGTGCTTCCCGTTTCTGACATCTCCCCGGCTGACGTTCTCGAATGCTCCAGGTGCCCTGAGCTGCCTCTCCAAAGCAGAAGCGGTGTCCTCAGAGAGGGGGCCACACTCTCCATTACCATGGCAACTGCCACTTACCATGCCGAGCGCTCCGTCTGCATCACGCCACGTCACCCTCCCATGACGCCGACGGTGGACAGCGATTACCCCATTTTGCAGGTGAGGATCAGAGAGGTTAAGTGGCTCGCCCCAAGTTACTCAGCGGGGAGTAGCCAGCCAGGATTGGAAGGGCAGTTTGGAAGCCTGTGTGGCTCCAGAGCCCGAGATCCCTCCCCTGAGGGACAGTTTCCTCCTTCTTTTCAAACCGAGGGAGGACACTTGGAATGGGGCCCGGGCAGCAAACGGAACTGCGGTGGTAGCTGCCTTGGGTGACTGTGCTTTCTCGAGCATGGAGCCCGCCCCTCCCCTCTCCCGTCTTCCTTCCTGGCACCCCGCACCCCCTTCCTGCGCATCTTCACCTCAGCTCTGCTGGCTGCATCCTCCTCTGAACGTGCCAAAACTCGGCCGGTAGTAACAGGTTCTAGATGTAGCCAATAAAATGACAGGGCGCCCAGGTACATTTCAACGAATGCTTTTTTTTTTTTTTTTTTTTTTTTTAGTGCAAGACTGTGCCAAATACTGCATGGGACATACACCAAAAATGTATTTGTTGTTTATGAGAGATCTGATTTCGATTTTAACTGGGCATCCTTCTGCGCTATCCGGCAACCCCCATAAGAGACCCCTCTGTGTCGGGCCTGGAGTTATATGTCCCTACCCAAGCTTCTCCTCCCTGATAGGAGCTGGACTATTCTGGGAATTGCAAGGGACCCAAAGCAGAGCTCAGCGAGGGGGCTCACACTGCCTTGCTGGAGGCTGGGCCCAGACAGCCAGGTCGTCCGGTGGGAGCACTGGGGAGGGCCGGCCTCCAAATACGAGTGGCGGAAATAACACGATGGGTTATTTCTGAGAAAGACCCGCGCGCGGGTCTGTGACATACCCGAGACCTGGAAGGTCTTGCTCTCTCTCTCTCTCCCCTGGAGTCGCCCCCACCGCCCCACCTGGCCGCCAATTCCAGACACTGCCCTCCCTTGAATGAGACATTCAGTTGGTGACCCCATTCCTCTGATAAGGTGAGTGGGGCCCAGTGCCTGAGCTGCTAAAATGGAGGCCACAGCGTTTCCGAATACGCTGCCACTGTCACCACGGCTGGGCCACCCGTCTGTCACCTGCTCACAGCACTTCTAGGAAGGCGAGTTCCCCAAAGGCCACGCTCCTCCCAGACAGTGCCACTCACGTCCTGTCACCCAGCCAGCACCCAGACCCTGCCCAGGAACAAGGCAGAAAAATAGCTCAGGTGATATTTGCTTTTCCGTGAACGATTGGTTCCCCCTCCGTGTTTCGGTCCTTGCTCCGTGCCTGCCTTGTTTCCGCTTGCTGACACGAAGCCTGCTGCCCCTGGTTTCCCTGGCACCTGCCCTCGGTGCCTGCCACGCCCGCATGCAGTAGGGAGGCGTGAGCAGCAGAAGCTGAGGTCTGATCTGGGATTCCGGGGGGGGGGCACTCTGGGTGTGAGGGTCCCCCCCCCCCCCCCCCGCCCATGCACTCTGGGAAAGGGAGGGTCACCTGGTGCTTCGTGGTCTGCCTTTTTGGCCCCTGTCTCTGCCCGGGCTTGAGACTGAGGTCCCTGCCTGGCCCTCGCCGCCCCTCCCAGCGGCCAAGGGTGAAGTCTAGATGCTATACGCCCAGGGCTGAAGCAGCGGTCTGCACACAGCTTCCCCTCTCCCAGGGGCTTAGCAGGGCAGCCCCCCTCCCCCCGTCCCCTGCCACTGGGCTGTCACCATTCTCCCTGGGCAGCCCCGGTCCACCCAGCTGGTGGCTGGTTCACCCCGTCCCGAGGCTCGGTCCGTCATATTTGCGTTCCAGTTCCCGCTCAGAGACTCAACACACTCTCAAGCAAAGTTAAAATCAGCTCGTTTCTCCAGGGAAATGGGAGGGCAGAGGGGACCGATCCCCTCCTTACTTACTGTCGTCCGTGTCCCAGGGGAAAGGACGATGAACCTGGGAATCACACACGGCTTGCACGGGGGGAGGAAGCCGGCAATGAGTTTCTGTTCAAGTTCTTCATCCCAGCCAGAGAAAGCCTTGCTGGCCCCATCTAGGAGCTGATGTGCCTCGGATCCCAGCCACTGAGCGGGCTCCAGTGGGGATGAGCTCACCAGGCTATGGGCTAATGGCTTAACCCTTTGCAGGCTGCTGGTACGGGCATTCTCATGCTGTGGCTTTGTCTCAGCTCGGCTCAGCCACTACTGGATGAACCTTGTGAAAAATTAATGAAGCTTCTCTGCAGTCTGTCGTCAAGTTTTAGCGGAGACGTGCATTAGGTTGGTGTCTGGGCAGGGCTGTTTCTCCTGGCCCGGGCTCAGACATCAGGCGAGCTGGGCTTTCTGCGGTGGTGGAGTGAGTGATGATGATGGTGGTGATGCCAAAGGCCAGATTTCCCAGAGGCTCTGCTGGCTCCATCCAGCGCAGGCCGTGACAATGAGATCTGGGAGCTGTGTTCGTTCTGGATGCTGGAGAGGGCAGGTGGATGCTTACTTAACATCCTCGGTTCCAAGATGGGGGGGGTGCCTCTGGGAACTTTCCAGCACCTGTGGGTGGGTACCACGTGTGACAAAGGGTCAGGAGCATGTGGGATCCTGCCCCACCCCAGGCCCAGGTGTCTCTGAACTGGGGGCAGATGTCCACCCTTGCCTCTCCCGGCTTCCCCGATTATGCCCCCGTGGCTTTGCATGTGCCCGTGATGAGAACGGAATGATGGCACCGCGGGAATGGAGGGGAAGGGTCTCTACCTCTCTCACAAGCTGCTTGTGAGGCGTTGGGTTGTCCGTCCCCAAGGTGCCCCAAGGGGTACCCGGAGGCCTACAACACTGCCTGAGACCCCGAAAGCCAGGCTGGCCACGGGTTGGGGGAGAGTCCTTGCTGCTTGTCCCAGTCCATGGGGGGGGGGGGGGGGGGGCTTCCTCCATGGTCTGTCGGGGAGACTCTCCCAGGGATGCGGAAGACCAAGACAGGCCAGGGAATCTTCCCTCTCTGCTAACTTGATTTCTGTACCCGCCACACGAATGGGAAATTTCCAGCCTGGGAAGAGTCTGAAGAATCCGACTGGGAGAAATGGCAAGGGGGGCGGTGGGCCGGGAAGGGCGCGCACCCTCTGCTCAGCGGGTGGAGGGGGGGGGATGCATGTCCGCGGGAACTGGTGCGGGAGGCTTTCGAGGATGTTCTGCTCTGCCGTCACTGCCTGTCTCCTCTCTCCAATCTGTGAAGAAACCCTCAGGGTGAGTTATCCTGCCATGCACATAACCCAATCAGTCCCGTCTTCCCCTCAGTCCAGGCTCCCACGCTTCCTCCCCGGGCCCCAGGCTGTGGCAGGTGGCGTCGGCTCAGCCGTGGGCAAGCCCAGCCCTTGCTGAGAACTTTGTCCACGTCGGGCACTAGTCCATGTCCTTGGCCTTTGTCATAATTCACTGATTGCCCCATGGAGCCCTCTGATGTAGCTCTTTGAGGTGCTCTGCTCTCCTGATACTTGGCTTTGCACAAATTACTTCTCTGAGCCTCGACTTCTCCACTTGGTGAGTGGATGTGATCATTACGACCTCAGAGAGCTTGTGTGAGGACTGAATAAGCACATGCACATAGCAAGGGTGCACTGAACGCAGCTATGTGATGTACAGGGTGGGTGTGCGTATACAATTTACATGTGTATGTGTACACGTGTGTGTATAGGTATGCATCGAAGCAATGTACATATATTAGCATATATGCAGATGAGGGGGTATTTGGGTCCAGGAGAAGGCATCTGGGGTTGAAGCTGCATTGTCTGCAGGCTCATCCCTGGCGGGACAGAAGAGGAGGTGCGAGAAGCCAGCGTGGTCCCTGGGCAGTTGACGCCAGGCACCCCGGGAGGAAGGGCTACGGGGGGAGTTGGGCTGCAGGAGGCGCAGAAAGCAGGCCCGGCATTGCCTGGGGGATGGCTCTTAGCCCTCCGATCTGCCATCCTGGAGCTCCCAGCCGCTGAAGCTCAGCTCTGCACCCCCTAATCCAGCTAGCCCCAGGTTCCAGGGTATGATTGATGGGGTGACCGACCACCCAGGTCTGCCCGAAACTGAGGGGTCTCTGGGACACAGCACGGGACTCCCAGGGCTCAGCTAGTCCAGTGCCAAGCCAAGCAGGATGAACTGGTTACCCCAGGAAAGGCATTTGGAACCTCTGTGCTTCTGCATATGGGCTCTCCTTGTCTGGAATGTTCCTTCTGCCCATCTCCACAGAGCCACTCCACCCAATCTGGCCTCACCCCCTCTGCGACCTCCCCGAGCCCCCGCTGGGTTCAGAGCTCCACCTCTGGGCTTCCACAGTTCTGTTCTCGATGATTGTGTGCCCTGCCACCGTCCCCCAAAACTCCTTGGAGCACCTTTTTTTTTTTTTTTAAAGATTGTATTTATTCATTTGAGAGAGAGAGCACGAGCTGGTGGGCAGGCAGAGGGAGAAGCAGACTCCCCGCTGAGCAGGGAGCCCAATGTGGGACTCAATCCCAGGACCCCAAGATCATGACCTGAGCTGAAAGCAGACACTTAACCTACTGAGCCACCCAGGCACCCCTCCTTGGAACACTTTTTTAAATAAAAGAGTATATATTTGGAAAGTTTAACATATACAAAAATGGAAAAAAACACTGATCTAATAAACCGTCAGGTATCCACAGTCCAGCCTTGATAATTATCAATGTTTGTTCTGTTTCCTTTGACTCCCTCATATATATATATATATATATATATATATATTTTTTTTTTTTTTTTT